CAGTCACAGATAACTCCATTGTTGACACCAATTTACACAGAAGGATAATGTTATGATTTTGTAGTTCCTGGAAAATACAGAACAGAATGTAAAGTGCCTGACATCCTGCCATTGATGGCTTTGATGTCTGAAATATCTGAAAATATTGTTTCAGGATGTAGTAGAGTATTGTGAATTTGAAGATGCCTGCTAATTAGTGTTCATACAAATAATAAGGCATTCAGTCTGAGTCTCCATCTGTTTGTAGGTTGAAAGCTCTTCAGGACAGGCTGTTTTTACCTTTAGTGTATCTTCTGTATTCTGAGTAATGCAGAATAAAAAGCTATCAGTATTGAATAACTTGAGCGTGTTAATATCAAGAAATGTTCAAGTACAATGTGATGGCTGTTGCTTAAATTAGTCAGTCTTGAAATTCCAGATGTATTTCATCACCAAATACTCAGGTTGCACAACAGCTGGATATGAGAATTTTWAAAACATTTATGTTCAGAAAGCTGTGCTTGTGACATCCTGTTTCAATAACTACTTTATTATGTCCAAATATGTTACATTGGASGCTTTTCTAGTTTCCTTTGTCAAAGTAAGGTTTGTTATATAAGCTCCAGTACCTTAAAGAAGTTTTATTTTCCAGTAGCTCCAGTCTGATCCCACCATGGTCTGAACACCCATTAGTTGTTGGTATGGGATGTCATTCCAGTCTAACTTACATTCTTTTCTTTGATGATGCAACTACTTAAGCATTTTTAATTATGAGTAGCAGTGAATCAGGAGGAAAACAAGGTTTCTTGCAGATGAGGCATCCATAAATCAAGCATAAACAAAGCTGCCTTTGGTATGTAGAAGACATTTTTTTCCCATGACAGTGTTGCAGCCCATTGAGTGAATGTGTGAAAATTAATGATGCAGATGAAATAGATGAATATTAAGTGACGGGAGCATACAATAAAATTATAAAGAAAAAAAATTGTAATACAGTTTTATAGTACTGACTTTTTTGGGCTTGCRGCAGCAAAAAGTTATAGAATGATATTAAATTTAGGACTTATTTAAATCACATATATTAACAATGCCAATTAAATTGTTAAATCATTTAAAACTTCAGTGGTTACACCAGTGATAGTATTTCCTTTGACAATTTTTTTTTTATTGTAAGTAGAGCTTAATTTACATTAGTTTCATGTTTTCTTACACTTCCAGTGTTAATTTAAATTTTTAATTGGATTATTTTTCCCACTCTGCTTTAAGCACTAAAGCATGTGTAATGTGCTATACCTTAGTGAGTATTTTCCCAGTTTTCTTCTGTATCTTGCCACATGTGGCATTGGGAGGACATAGTGTTTATGGATGTGCTTTTTGTTGGGGAAGCTGCTGTGGTGGCTGGTGAGCAGTACTGAAATGGGCTTCTCAGATTGGAGCTTTCCTGGAAGCAAACCTGACCCCAGAATGTGGTGTCTGTGGTCATGATCTTGTTGGGTGCTGAGTTGGGTGATCAAAGTGATTCAGGAATGAATGTCAGCTTCCTCAAACAGGGCCAGCTCCCTGTTCCTGATGCCCCAGCAATGCAGTCCTTTAGTACCAGAAGATAAGATTGCCCCATCTCTTCCAGAATTAGATGTACTTTCCAGAGCTCTCTGTTTTGAGAAACAGCATGGTTCAGGTTTGGGTGGGTCTTTGATGGCCARCTAAAGACTTTCCCAAGTAGTTTGCAGTGACAGAAATGTCCTTTCTCCTTTGGAAAAATGCTCCGTGTCAGTGTTTGCTGTTGTTTCCCAAATGGGTTTTATCTCCTCCACTTTCAAAACTTTGTTCAACTGAACCTTTTCCATTTCCAAACAACTGGGAATGAATGTTGTTCTGACTCCTTCATTTTAACTGGCAGATTAAYGAAGCATATTGATATCAGCAAACCTCTTAACTGATAGGGAAGTTAAACATTGGTATTCTACATGAAAAATACAGAATAAGTCATTAAGAAATGTAAAATCCATGTTTCTAAAATATGTTGTGTATGTTAATTAAAAATTTTAAAAGTTGGTATTTTCAAGACACAGTAGTAGTTACGGCTGGGGAAAAGCCATGTGTGGCCTCCTCCTTTGGAAGGAGCTGTGGAATAATCAATACTCCATCCACGGTGTGTACCAGGAAATAATTAAAATTGATGTAAAATCTTGTTAATATGAGTAGTTGATTCTTTAGGACTAGTTGGGTGGGTTTTGTCTCTGGAACCTGATCCTTTTCGAAGTGTTTGGTTGTTGTAAAGTGTCTGATGGAGCAGAAATGATAGTGCCAAGAGCATGACCTCTGTTCCAAGCACTGTTCTTGTCCTCATTATTGTTTATTGCCATTACTTAATTAGCAAATGCTGCAACATAAGCAGAGGGAGGCTGGACAGTTACTGAGTTTGAGGAATGTGTTTATGTAAAACAAAACAGAAAAGAAAACAACTCTTCCTCAACCTCCAGGAGTTTGATAAATTGTTGTTACACAACAAAAATACTTGGMTTGAATAGCCTGCAGCAGGAAATTGGTGCTTTTTCCTAACTACGGGGGATGTAGCAATAGTAGTAATCTGTTTTGTCATAAACCTGATAATGATTATTTCTGGTTTTAAAAGGTGCAACTGAAACTTCCAGTTGCACATAATTCCTTTGGAATTTTTGGTTTTTGGAAAAGAGTCTCTCTTGTCCTTAGTTTTCTGTTATAAGGAATRGAACTATAAGCAGTTTACCTTTTTTCTTTTAATTGAAAATGATCCTCTAGCAAAGTTCGTCGCACTTTGGTTTGTGGAGAAATTTCTAACATGGATTTTGGGTCATCTCACAGTTGGAACTGACATAAAATTATGACATTTTTGTATTTTCTGAACTGAATTAACTGTTGTAAGAATGAGAGTAGTTCAGCCATTCTTTTATGTATTGCAAAAACACGCGACTCTCATGCCTGGATCACATGCTGTGTGGAAAAAGCATGAAAGAAGGCATGAAAATTTGAGCTCTGAGTTTCTTACTATAGATGTGTGAAAATGCCAGTTTTCTGTGTGAAACTTGTGCTTTCTGCTCTGGGTGAGAAACTTTTAGTTGTCATGTCATTTATGACTCTATTGCAATCAYGTAATTTAAATATTTTTCTTTTCCTTCAGTAGACCATTAGCAAAATCAAAATTTGACAGTGGAAGCTGCTGTGCTCCTGTTGATTGTAATTCTTTATCCTAACTGGATTGCACTCATAATTTCTTTGTTGCAATAATCCGAACCTTTGCTTGAGTAACTTCACAGTTTTAGAGAATCACAGAATGATTTGGGTTGGAAAGCGTTTTTAAAACTCATCCAGTTCCAGCCCCCTGCCATGGGGAGGGACACCTTCCACTGTCCCAGGCTGCTCCAAGCCCCATCCAACCTGGCCTTGGACATTTTCAGAGATGGGGCAGCCACAGCTTCTCTGGACACCCTGTGCCAGGGCCCCACCACCCTCACAGGGAAAGATTTAATCCTAATATCTAATCTAAACCTCCCATCTTTCATCTTAGTTTAGTTTAGTTAGTCTTTTAGCTTCAGTTTAGTTGCTTGAATTATTTTCCTGTAGGTGCACATAAGTTTCTGAGTGTCATTTATAAACACGATGCTCTGTACAAAGTGGTGGTGTTTTGATCTTTGCCATTGAGATGAACATGTATGTWACTTGGATCTTCATGGCTGGAGTTTCAGATGTACTTTCTAAATGTAACCTCAGTGAAAACAGATGGAGCTGACCCACTTTTTAAGGATTTGTCTCCACTCTTGTGTTAACTTCCTTCTAATTCACACGTTAATCCCTGYTTTGCATTAACTGATTCTTCAGTTATCTCACCTGCTGGTAGGTGCTAAAACGTGATTGATGCTGACAGCCTGAGTTTGTAACCTTGCAGCTACAGCTACTGAGCTGCTAATCCGGGCTCTGTGCTGCTCCTCGGGTTTGTTTTATGTACCAGGGGTGAGGAATCACTTTCCCTTGTGCCCAGAGGTGCGTAGGTCAAGCAATCTCACCTCAGGCTAACAGGTYAGGAATGAAGACAAACTTATTTAATATGTGAAGCCAGGTATTTTCAATTGCAGGTACCAGTACAGTCACAAATGGGTTGATTCAGGAGATTTTGATCTGTAACACACCCTACATTCCCCAGCAGTGTCTAGCTCAGCTCCCTTTTGCTCCAGCACCCTTGGTAGTTCCCTTGCTCAGTTCCCTTGGTAGCTCCAGCACTCTCAGATGTGATTTCATGGTCTTTCTCTAGAGATGATTTCTCCAAAGTCACCTCTGTTGCTGGGTGTCCTGAGGGAAGTCCCCTGCTAGAGCTTCCTGAAGCACATCAGGTTGTTTTTAGCTGCTTTCCTCCACTGCTGGCTCACACTGCCCATCACACTTTGCTGTATTTGTGTTCTTTCACACTCCTTAAACAGAACCCATCACCATGGACCCACTCCTTGGGATAGTACAAGCAGCAGCATAAAGACAGAATCAGAAGTTAAGGCTCAATGTTAGAGAAAAGGTTTTCTGTCTACCCCTTTGCTGAGAGAATGAAGSAGTGACTTGGAATTAAAAGAACTCTCATTGAAAATGCTGTGTGCTGAGWAGTATCTTGGAGTCTATGGAATTTATGTATATTTGTTTTTACAAGGCCTGTTTAATGTTTAATTAAAATTTACCAAGGTTTTCTTGTCAGAACTGAAATGTATTGTGTGTGGTTTTGAGTATCTGCAAGTAATAATGATTTYACAAAAGAATGTTCCTTATATTTAAGCTTTACATAGCAGGCYGTGATGAGGGGTGCTGAATAAATTAAAATATTATGGTAATGATACTATCTAATTAGCATTTTTCACACAATAGTTTTCATCAATTTTTCTTTGTCCTTTTTTTGTTTTTTTAACAACATGCACCATTGCCAATTATTTTTGTTGCTGAAAAGGTAAAATAGGCTGTTCATCTCATTCCTTTTTGTTTGCCTTTTTTCCATCCCACTCTAGTTTTGGCAAGCAGTCTGGAGGAAAACGAGGATGCGAATGTATCATATTGGAACCTTCAGAAATGATTGTGGTAAGACAGAGTTTTTTCATATGTATTTAAATCGATTGCTGGTTTCAGCAAATTCTTTCTCTTTTACAGCAGAAAGCTTATTGTAAAGTATTCTATGAAATTGCAGCAAAATTGCCTTGATTTCAATTATACCTATGGCTGCTCTCGTAACAGCAGTAGCTATGTAAATTTAATCTGGATGGGTAAATGATGATGATGATTAGGTCATTCTTTCTAAAATTATGCTTGCTTGAGTTTCAAAAGCCTAACAGTCAGGGCTGAGTTGAGCATTCCTGAGTCAGGCAGTGACAGTCTTCTATCTTGAATATTTTTATTTACACCCCCATCCCCCATTTCATGGCTTTTATTGGTCATCTGTAGGTGGAAAAAGCTTCTTCCTCCAAGCCTTTCGAGTGCCACATAGTGTGAAGGCTTGTAGGTATAAGGAGAAACATGAGAGTGCTTAGCCAGGCTTGAAGGGTAAGATYTGTCACCATCCCTAATGTCCAGGGTTGCTTCTGCTTCTTCAGAACACGTACTGGTACTGCTCAGTGCATATATAGAGGTATGCATATGTGCCTGGAGAGTGTAGTTTAGTCCTTCCCAGGTTGTTGTACACTTGCTGTGAGCAGTTGGAATGTTAGGATTGCTTTTCCATAGTGCGGACTGACGTCGTATGCCAGCAGCGTGTGCCTGGGGACRCGGGCAGATCTCTTTCAACTTTCATCTTAGATGTTGTTAATGGAGCTGAAACAAAACTGTTTGTTGTGCTCAGAAGCCACGTGTCTGTTAATCAGACTCCGATCTCCAGACTGCTATTGATTTAGCTGCCCTAGATCTGGATATGGTAACATTAAAACTAATATTTGGCAGCATCTCTTACCGAGCATGTAAACTCTCAGCTCCCATAAGAGGTTTGTTTCTTGCAGTGCGTTACCAGCAGGGATGTCAGCAGTGTCCTGGACCAGCTCCCCTCATGTCCTTTGTGCCATTTGCTYTGTGAGTGTCTGACTCTGCTCGTGGGCCCTGATAGCATCAGTAATATGCTCTTTGCTGCAGCACATATTYTGAGCTACAGTCTGCCATGAAGTGCAGATTGGAGTGCAAGAAATGTGTCTGCATGCCCTGGAGTGAAACAGGTCATTTATTTTATTCTCAATTGTCCAGTTTATTCTCAAAATTGGAATTTTTGCSGGAGGTTTATGCCCTGAGGGATGCCACAGGACTGTTTGGGTGGCAGAGTGTGCAGCCATGTCACAGGAATGTCCCTCTGGTTTGCATTTGCTGCTTTGCCTTTTTTACTTTTTAATTGTTGCTGCTGAGGGTCTGGTGCACCTGGGGTGAGCTGAACCTTGCAGCTCAATGCTCCTGTAGCAGAGAGCAACAAATACTTTTCCAGTCCTATCTATTATCAGATRTTAGGGAGAAGTTCTTGGCTGTGAGGGTGGTGAGGCTCTGGCACAGGTTGCCCAGGGAGGCTTTGCCTTTCTCATTCCTGGGTGGTGTTTGGATGGGGCTTGGACCAACATGGTTTAATGGAAGGAGACTGGTGACTTGACTCACTGCAAGGACATTTGTAAGTTTAYATGAAAAATATTTCATGGGAGAAGTACAGTATGGACATCTTAAGAAATAACTTACATTCTTCTTTGGTCATATCACCATTAAAAAAAAAAAAAAAAAAGGAAGAAAAAAGATGGAAATAAAAGAGGAGCTTCTGTGCAGTGCGTGCTTCCAGAGAGAAACTGGCCCTACTGAAATATTTTATGAAGAAACTAGTGTTGTGTGTGTAACTTGAGTAGCTACAACTGTGAGGAGTGTTTTCAGAGGAGCAGGGTATCACGGTAGCTGGGGAAGCCAGCATTGGCCATGTCAGCAGCCTCACACGCTGCTGGCTGTTCCTGCAGACAAAGGCACAGCCCAGACAGCTGTTCGCTCTATTTTAAATCTCCTGAATTGTCTGTAATTGCAATTAAATGCCAGTGAGAGTATAGAGACACTTGAAAGTATCTTACATCCTTCTCCGGAATTCAGTATATTTTTCCGGCAGGAAAATCAGAGTATTAAAAGCGCAGAGTAGTTTTCTCATTATATTTATGATCATATTTTACAGGTAAATGTAGCCAAAGGTACTATTAGCTGTGTTTTCTAGGTAGTACTTCAAATAGGGTGAGAAAAAAGCATCAGTGTGGTGGCGTGCACCTTGCTAATGATCTTCACTGACACGAGGTGTACTTGAGTTTCATTTCCCTGATTAACTCTTATTAATTTATCTTAATTCTTTTATTTTCTCTAGTTTTTAATTTGAAACATACTAATGAGGTTTAATACATAATGAATATTTATCTTCAAGCAAAAGAATTTGTTAGCCACTTTAATGGAGTTAAAGAACTCCATAATTTCCTGCTGGTGACTGATTTTTTTTTAAATTTTTTTTTTCTTCTCTCCTGTCATTTTAGAATGTAAAACAGTTTTGTAGTGGGAATCCTCTGGGAACAGACCCATTTTAGAGGCAATAAAATGTGGTCAACTTAAGTTAATGAGGATAACAGATAGCATGTGAATGGGCATTGTAACTCATATTTTTGGAGGCTGAGCAATCTATTAAATTAATAATAGCCCCATTTATCACTTAAGAAAATGGCCCAGAATTGCAGCATATCTCAGTGTACTGAAGTGTCCTTTCTGTTGTTCCTTGATGCTTTCATTTTCCTCTTCAGATCTGTGTGTAAGATTTCAGAAGAGCAGTGTGATATTTGCAGGTGGAAAATATTTCATTGCTGGCTCGAGCTGCAGAGTGGAACTGAGGGCAGTCCTGGAGCTCTCCTCGATTTCTGCCTGGCAGCCAGGGGGTGAAGCTGGCAGTGTGGGAACATCCTGCTGCTGCCAGTGCTTSGGGTTAATAAAGAACAATAAAAATTGCCTTTTAAAAACAATAATCCTTTGATTAGGATATGGCTAAGTGATGTGCTATTCCAGATTTCCTGGCACAAAAACACGAATCTGATGAGGAGCAGCTGGGGGGGCTCAGCCTGGAGAGAAGGGGGCTCATGGGGGACCTCATGGCTCTTTGCAGCTCCCTGGCAGGAGGTTGTGGCCAGGTGGGGATCAGCCTTTTCTCCCAGGTAACAAGGGAAAGGACAAGAGGAAATGGCATCAAGTTGTGCCAGGGAGGTTTTAGATTAGATATTAAGGATATTTTCCTCACGAGAAGGGTCAAGGCCCGGTACAGGCTGCCCAAGGCAGTGATGGAGTCACCATCCCTGGAGGGGTTTACRGCTGTATAGATGTGGCACTTGGGGACAGCGTTTAGTGGTGGGCCTGGCAGGGCTGGGGAATGGTTGGATGTGATGATCTTAGAGGCCTTTTCCAGCCTTAACAATTGTGTGATACTTTATTGACAGTGCAATAATGATTTCACAGGCTGTGGGACAGTGTCTCTCCTGACTCAATGGCGGCCTGGTCCTCCTGGCTCTGCCATGGCTGGGGTTTGTGTCCTCCCTCTCCTCCCTCGCTGGGATCCTGCTCAGCTCTGGGTCCTTGCATCCASAGGGAATCTGAATTCCTCTGTAGGAGTCTCCATCCCACTGTGGATTGTGAGGAGGCTCACACCCCTCTGCCAGCAGAAATTGTTGTATCCAGTTGAAAGCAGGGCTGAGTGAGGTGCCCAGGTGTGCCTGTTCTGTTTATGCACAGAACATCAAAACCACTTCTTGTAAATCATAGCCATTGACAGCCTGGTGGTCAGCTGGACTTAAAATACTGCTTGAGCTGATGATACTAAGCTGGAAGTACTGTGGCGTGGAGGTCTTTCCTGGTTTCTGATTTTCAYGTTGTTTTTGTCAACAGCAGTTCACTAACTGAAGGAAGCAGGTGGTCTKATTTTCCACCCCTGTTTTGTCTTAGTGCTATCAAATAATTTATTTACGCTCACTTCTGAGTTTTCAGTTAGAAGTGTGTAAGAAAAATTTCTGTTGTCACTGGGGGTTTGTTTCAATTTACTCTTAAAAATATCTGTTTAATTTAGGGCTTCATGATAATAAGGGTTATCTGTACTGGAAGAGTCTTTGTCCACCTCAGCATTTCTCAGGTGCAGGTTAATCTGTTCTGTTGAAGAAGCTTGTTTCAGTTTCTATGRTCTTGTAAGACTGAATGCAGAGAAAAAAGGGTAATAATGAATTTATTGAAGGAGCTCCCACACAAAAATTAAAAAGTAAATCAGCACAATTTTGGTTATTTAATGAGTGACTTAGTACAAAAGTACATTAGTTAGTACATTAAATAACTTTGGTTATTTAATGAGTGACTTTAGTACAAAACTAAAATTCCTTATTTCTGTAAGCCTTCTGTACAATTTGAGAGCAACATTCTTTCTAGCTCTCAAAATGGAAATTGAGAAATTTTGAGAAATCATATGAATTTCTAGCTAGAAATCCATATTTATGCTAGATGAAGAGAGATTTCTATATTGATCATCTTAGTGCATTTTTGATGATCCGAGATGACCTGTTTAAAAGGATTTTTTTGTTTCTTTTTTGTGTTTGTGCCTGCTTGCCTTGTATTCTTTAGACCCTTATACCATCATGCTTACAGCAGTGCTGCAAGTAGATATCTTTGGTTGTTGTCCTGTTCCTTTGCAAAGAGATAGTAAAATTCTAGTGAAAAGTGTGGTTATCCCTTGCTGGGGGAACTCAGTTTTTCTAATTTCTTTTTTTGCAGTATTACAGTGTAATAGAAGAACTTCACTCTTCTAACTTCTCTAACTATTGTAGCTTTAACCCATGTTGTTAATGTATGTTTTTCTCTATGGAATCAAAAATAACCCACAAGATGAGCGCAGCTGCTTGCACCTTCCTCTGACTTCAGACAGATTTAGCTGTTTGGAAAAAGTGATGTGGAAGGTAGATGTGATCTTGCATTTGTGATGGTGTAGTTTGGTTACTTTCCTGTTCCTGTCTGTTAAGTCTTCCTGGKTTTCATTCTTTTGTACCTTTTTGGATTTTAATTTTGAGATAATTCACTTGARTAGATGAAGTGAGAGCTGTCTAAGACCACGGAGAGGTTCTTCTCATATTCCAGTGTTAATGTTTAGGATATTCGAGTGAAATTTGGAGAAAAAAAATTAAAAGTAAGCCATTGAAGACAGCAGAAACTTCTGCATAGTAGATATATTGTAGAGAAGCTTCTTGCCTGCTGCAGCCTATTTGCATGCGTGTCTGCCCTGCTTCCTGCTGGGAGATATTTTTCCAAAACATCAAAAGGAAATGGGAAAGGATGAGACTGCTTTTTATAGAAAAAAAGAATTGTAGCTATTGAGATAAAAGGTTTCATGTTGGCTTTTACTAACAAGATAAATTTACGTAATTTTTAATGTTTAGTCACAGATAATATTTAACATCAAGATATGAATCAAGTTCCAGCCATTTCTCCATAATCCACTGGAAGTGATTAGAAGGCAGTGTGACATAGGTGAAGTAGCTATTTATGAAAAGCTGGAATATTTAAAGTTGTTTAGCTGTGACTGGTACTAGAAATAAATTACTCTTTTCAAAATCACACTACTAAAAATAGGACATAATTCAGTATTTTTGCCAGATTGTAAATGCACAAAGAAATGGTAACTTCTGTGTTGAAGCTAAACTTGAAACGAGCGGTGCCTGTTACTCTTTTGTGCTAAGTGTGGGTGCAGAGCGGTTTCTACTGATGAGATATTGTTTAGAGGATATGTGTGCCTTTTCTACCTTTTTTTTTTTTTTTAAGTACTCTGTTTCCTGGAAGGAAACTATGGCCTCCGGCTCATTGTAATAAGGCACTTCTGACTGATTCTCCGAAACAACCGCGGCCGATTTTTCCAGAAAAGTTTAACTGCCCCAAACTTATGTTTGTTCCTTCCCCATGAACTTCATACGGCTCCACCGGCTCTCGGTGCTATGGAAGAACTGGATGTTTAACCAGCAGCCTGAACATGTGTTTCAGGTGGAGAACTCCAAAGACAATGAGGAAAACATCTTGCAAAGAGAAGTCCCGCTCCGGCAGTCGCGGCGGAGGTACAGGAAAATCAACCAGAGGGGAGAACGTCAGACCATCACGGACAATGTGGATTCCAGCAGCTACATGTCGGTGAGTCTGCTCTCCCTCGGCCCATCTCCTGGGTATTGTGATCTCTGCGTGGCTGGCTGGAATTTTCTTTTGCTGACAGAACCGGTGAAGTGAAATAGTGCATGTTTGCCATTTTTGAGAATGTTTTTTTCCTGTTGGGGAGCAGTGAATTGGTTTATATTGGAACACCATAGGTGGAAGTGAAGGTAGTAGCTGGAAAAGATGTTGGGGTTTTTTCAATGGTCTTCTGCTGTGCACAATAAATGAATCTTAACATGCTCTCTGGACAGAGGAATGGTCATTCTTCAGTTTTTGTAGGTTTTACCTGCAGTTATTTTGGTAAGATGTAGGAATTGGTGGATTTCTTTCTTTTTCATTAATAAATTTGAAAGCTCAATGGTTTAGAGCTGAGTTCATCACAAATGCAGATCAGAACAGCATTAACGCTCTTGTACTTGGTTGTGTTTACTTGCTTAAAAATAGTATAGTGGTAGTTCAGGCATCAAAAGGGTAACCACAATGCATCTGCTTTAAATACGTTTAAAATCWTAAATAGCAACAGAGACTAAAGTCTGTGCTGTGGGAAGGCACATACCTCTGTAGTTTCTAGGTTGCAAAGCTTATGTAAAGATTTTTTTTCACCATTATTTTTTCAAATTTCCAGTTTGGTAACAAGATATATGTGATCTAGACAAATTATTTAATTGAAAATAGTTGTTCCGGATAATTTGATCTGCWTTGAAAATCAAAGGTTAAAACCAGGACTAACATTGAAGTACAAGCCTTGAAGAAGCTGAGAAGTACAAGCTCAGTAGAGAAAAAAACCAATTTCTCCTCCTTTTCCCCATCTTCTTTTCATCTYCTCAAAAGAGATATGCTCTCAGTTGATAAGCTTCAAAATATCTGATGTATGCAGTCAGGTTTGAGCTTATAACTTACATAAACAGCTGTTTTTTCTGTGTGTTGGTAGCAGTTGGGTCGCAGGTGGTGATTTTAGGCCCTGCACATCATTACTGTGTCTGTGACAGGAACAGAATATGTTGCTTGAAGTTTAACATCCTCTGCCATCTCATTTTGAGAACTGTCACATGTGTTGGATTTTATCATTAGCAAGACATTAAATTAGTTATTRAAGAAATGAGATGTTGGACCCTCACGCTCTGGGTGGGTGTGCATAAGGCTTTATTAGGAATTAAATTCCAATCTGTGTGTGACAGAATCTATCTCTGTCTCTTTGGTGTTTGTGACAGTGAATAAGCACACAGATAATAGTTCAGATTTCACTGTTAAGAGGAAGAGAATCCCAGGAACAGCTGATGCTGGTGCTACCTTTGCAGYGTGCCTGGAGGGCTGCGTGAGAAGGGACTTGGCATCTTTGGTCTGTGAAAGACCAAGTTTCACAGCTTCTTGAATGATTTCAGAGGTTGTCAGTTAGTGCTGCAAGGAGTSAGTGTGGTACACTCACAGCACTGTGATTAGTCAACAGATGATGTCCTCATTAAGATTTTTCTTCACATTGGCTTTTTTTTTTCACGTTGATTAATTTTGTTGTTACCAACAAGACAGAGCACGGGTGCCTGTAGTTGCTTGTTCAAAACCTGGTGACTTCCTCAGATATGTGAAAAAATATATCTATGTATCTATATATGTAACTGTATATGTATCTATATATATATATATAATCTCAGTCAGTGTTTGTTGGAAAAGGGTATAGACTTCTTAAATCAACAGCACATTCTGAAGTCTAATTTTATATCTGTTAATTAGGAATATATAAGAAGAGTCCTGTAACACTGCTAAGTGTTTTCCTGGATGAATGAGTGCTAAGTGGCAAAGAGTAAACAACCACCTCTACTACCAAATCTGCAAGCTGTTGGGTTTTTAGCAGTCTGAACTGAAATACCTTGCTTTGTAGACTGTAAGCTCCTAATTGGAAAGTGTCAGAGTACTTAGGGTAGCAAAAAGTAATTTGTAACTCAATAGATGACTGAGGAATCAAAACACGGTAACAAGCTGCCTGTGTAACAAGTAAGGAAAAGTTTGGTGCCTGTATTTTTCCRTATTCCATTATAAACTAGTAAAGTAATAAATTTATCTGAGGTATGGCTAGTTCCATGCCTGTAAGAACCTGCTCATCTTTTGGTTCACAATGATCCTGAAAAACAGGTTTCATGGTGCAACCCTTCATGTAGCCCATGAGAGAAGAGCAGGATCAYAGAAYGGTTTGAGTTGGAARGGWCCTTAAAGATCATCTCCTTCCAACCCTCTGCTATAGGCAGGGGATCAGGATAAGGAGCAGGGTCAGTCAAACTTCCATTTGACAGGAACTTGCAATGAGGTTTCTGCCAGAGTGGGAGAAGTGTTTACAAACTCTCCAGCAGATTTCCTCTCTGGTGTAATACTAATGAATGAGCACAGTTGTATTTCACTCTGCAGCCTGTTGCTGAGTGCTCTGTGACAGATGCTGAATGCAGACTGATGGACCTTTTGTGAGCTCTGTGTGYTCAGGGAGGGCTTGGAGCTTTCCATCCTCTGCATTGACTCCTGTGGTTGATGTTGGAGTACTCAGTGTSACACTGTTTAAGTTTTCACATGCCTAATCTCTCATATGCAAGTAGTTTTCTGCTTTCTAAAGAAAACTCAGATCCTTTAGGTTTTGAAATTCAGTGTTGCTTTAACCCAGCTTGGAATATTTCTTTAAATAGAAGATTTCTTATGTTTGCTTTTAAGGAGAATTACTTATGCAATTTCCATTGACTCCTTAGAATGTAAATCTCTGCACATTAAATATACTGTGATTATATTTATGATTAAAGTTAATCTGTGTTTTATAAAACATTACCTTTTAGGTTGTGACATGAGCTTACATCTACTTCTCACATGGAGTATCCTTGTTAGTGCTGGAACTCATCCTCTAGAAATACCTGATTGGCCACAAAACCAAGATTTGAATGCAGATACTTTAAATAATATTTTAAATTATTGTTACTATCCTTGAAGGTCTTCTTTTGTCTTAATTAAATGAAAGAGTTCTAGTTCTTAATTTAACTGTATCTCTTCAGGATAGCTGACAATAACTACAATTATTGTGGGTATCTTAAATTTCTTCCCTCCCTGCTCTTCCTTGAATGACCTAATGTTAAAAATGGATCATCTGGTTGGTTTCTTTGGTGAAGGTGTTACCATTTAAATTACTGTTCTCCGTTTTTGTGGTTCACAGAGCAGTGTTATTTCACAAGAGTACTGGTTGTCTGCAGAATTAGCTATTTGTAGTTGGTTTTTGTTGTTGGGTTTTTTTTCTTTTCCTTCCAAGTAAATGCAGTGTACTTAAGTACAGTGTACCCATGCTGGCAGTGCTCTTAGTTCYCCCTGAGAAAGAACAGGTTTATGTTTCTGTTTCTGTCTCTGAGGTGCACAGTGGTGTGGCTTTGCTCTTGCAGTGCCTGTCAGAGGATGCCAGTGCAGCTCTGATGGGTTGGGAGCAGGTTCCACATCCAGGGTGCACCCAAGCCATGTTGAGATTSTGCTGCTGCTGGGGATTCTTCCCTTCTACAGCACAGCAGGCCAGCCAGGTCCCAAAGACAAATGTGTGCTTGCAAAGCACCAAGTTGTTTTTTCAGGGTACACCACAGCACTGCTGCCCCTGAAGGGCTGGAGGAGGTGGCTCTGTCGCGCTGGGTCTCGTGCGAGGCCATGGCCATGGTGACAGCCCAAGTGTGTGTGACTGTCATTCTGCCTGGGGCAGCTCTGAGCCCTGTAATTACATCAGATCTCTTCATCCCTGCGCATTCCTGGCCTTTTTCATTTTTGTCACTCAGTAATTCCGCATCYTGCACGTCGCCCCCGCAGTAACGTCCTGACTGGGGGGGAGAAAGTGGGGCTGGGCACATTTGGAGAAACCTCTTGCTGARAATGAATGGATTAGGAAGAAAGTGGCATCGGTGTTAATTATGCYTGCTCTTGCTTCAGATTTGATTTGTTAGCATGATTGCATATCTTTGTGGTGATAAGCATCCAGCCAGGAGCTGGGGTCGTTGCAGCAGGGCAGCATCACAATGGAGATAAATATTGAGTCATTTCTATTCTTAGTCTARTTCTCAACCCAATCAATAATGCAACCATGTTTTATAATTACAAAAGAAGAAAGTAATAATACAAGCATGTTTTTTTTAATTACAAAAGAAAGAAGTAATTGTGATCATCTCTGCTAAACTATATCCCAAATTTCTGTGCCCATGCAGAAGCAGCTTGCAAAACTGCAGCCAGAATAACAGCAAGTAACTTCTTTATGATAATGCTTTAAAAAAAAAGGTTTAATGGTAGTTATGGTGCTTTATAAAAATTAAATTGCTGTTTTGATCTTGTATCAAATAATAGGAAAGTAAACGGTTTGACTGTTTATCTTCACAGTTAAAAAATAAAACCTGAGATAATAAATTTTGCATTTATATTTCTTGCAGTGTTCATATGCAARGATGGTTTCACAGTTCAGTAAAAATTTCCACATCTCAGACTTGTAAACTAAATTTTTTTTTAAGTAAGATTTTTCTTATTCATGTTTATGGCCAGTAGTCTGAGGTTGTGGACTTCCCTGGAAGTGTTCAAGGGCTTGGATGGGTCTTGGAGCAATCTGGGATAGTGAAAAGTGTCCCTGCCTTGGGGGKTTGGAACAACATGAGCTTTAAAATCCCACACAGCCCAAACCATTCTGTGATTCTGTGCATTTGTTACTCACATACATAATTGACAAGTCTCTCTGTGATCTTTTTAAAATGAAGAGTATTTCTGTCTCTAAAAATAGTGCATGTATGATGTAATGCCTATTTCTGTGGAGTTGTGGCAACATACTGAATTTTTCACCTGTTAGTTCATTATAGACCAGGATAAAGAAATTGGTACCAAACTTTAGTAGTAATCCTCTTCCTCWGAGATGCAATTTTTAAAACTACTCTAAGAGGATGATGAGGTTTAAAAGATTTATTATAATATTGCAYTTTACGGACAGTATCTTAATATTTGCA